TCTTTACAGGAGCAGATCACCAGGTCTTTTCGTCCAGGGAGTGGCTGGTGGGTTCGAACCAGCAATTTTTTCGTTAACAGCTGAGTGGTGAACAATTGTTCCACCAGGGCTACTTTTATTTTCCTTAATACTTTGTATTTTATTTGTATAACATAAAGAAAATAGAGCAATTTAAAAACATCAAATCCCGTAGAGATGTTCACCAATCAACTCAGTTTATCCCGGGGTAGTATAAATATTATAGTTTCCATGTAATACATGAAAAAGGGTGGGAAGCAGTGGTGTACAGGAGAGATTAGGGGAAAAAAAAATCCACACCTAAACATACTAAATGAAATTTTTAAAAAATCAAAAACAAAGGTCTAAAAGCTTGCAGATAGAAAAAATAGGACACTCATAAAGGAACAAGATTCAGATGGATATCAGACTTATTGTTATAAAAGAGATAATAATTAATGGCTTAAATATGTTGAAGAAAAATAACTTGAACCTCATGAAGACAGAGTAATATAAAACCTATTTTTGAGAAAGAATATCATGAAATCAGAAATAAGATTACCCCTTTCAAGAAAGAGTCAGCCCCTTTGGAAACAGGTTGTGGCGGTAGATTTGAACTGCCAACTTTTTGGTTAACAGCCAATTTCTTAACCACTGCACCACCAGGGCTCCTCATAGTCTAAACACCTCAACTAAAAGGCAGAGGTTGCCATTTTTGGAGAAAAAAAAGAGAGAGAGAGTGAATCAGGCTTAATTAAAAGGGAACTATAGAAGCAATCATTCAAACCTAAACTATTTTATCATGTATTGTGCTGTACATTGACTTGTCTATGTGTATGGAAAGGTTGAAGGATACAGAATATTTAGGACCTATGGAGACAAAGAATCTATTTGTTTAATAATAAAGTTGGGGCAAAAAGCTGCAATAAATTTAATTTGGCTTTTGTTCTGTATTTATTTTAGGTTATAGCTCTAATCTGATGTGTTTAAAAGGGGTCATCTGTATAACAGTTAAGAGCCTCAGCTCTGGCACCTGGCAACTGGAATTGAATCTTGTTCCCGTTCTTTATTGGTTATGTGATTTGGATTGTGTTTAATTTTTTTTTTTTTCAGGTGTAAAAAAGCATTGGTAATACTACCCATCTCTTAACATTGTTATGATTAAGTGGAGTCTTGCATTCAAAGCACTTTGAATGGAACAGTGCTTACCATATATACCCAATAAATCTTAGCTACTATTTGTTATTGAATTGCTTGACATGCAATTCAAGTAATCGTGACTTTTCCTGGCCAAATTGTTTTGCTATATAGTCTTTCTTGATGCATGTGAATTACAATCCTCTAATCATACCATTTGTACAAATTTCAATGTTTGTGATAGTTACATGAAATCATAAAAAAATGCAGCAAAACACAGAGGGATGGTTCAACCATTACATTTTTTATTTCTCACTGAAGATATAAATAATCTTACAAGGAACTTAGTTTTTTTTTTAACATTTCCTTCATTCAATATTAATGCTCAGTGTATTTTCTAATATTGAGATGACAGGTACATTTCCTTCATTCAATATTAATGCTCAGTGTATTTTCTAATATTGAGATGACAGGTAGCTTTTTTGTTTCCCTACACAATGGCATAAACAAATTGATTCCGACAATATATAAGCCTAAACACAGTGGGATGCTTATTTATATTTGACAACTTATATAAATGTGCAAGTTAAATAAAAATATTCTCAGGTATGTAAGTTTTCAGAATGTTTACTACACATAGACCTTTGTTCAAAGAAACGTTGAAGGATGCATTAGCAAAAATTGAAGTGGGCTGAAAAGAAACCTACATGACTTTTATGGAGTAAAATTTAATAAGGGGAGTTTTGTGAATTTTATGATGTCTAAAGTTCCAAAATATTTTAAGAAAAAGAACATCAATATGTTGTGAAAAATAAAACTTAAAACTCCAGACCATAAAGACATGCAGCACAGGAAAGAATAGAAATAGATAAGAACAAGGACAACTTGTTTTATTTGGAATTAATTAACAGATATTAAAAAAGGTGCCTCATTTATTTCAATTATATTTTCCTGATTACATAAACTACATAAATTATTGCATAAATTATAGAAAACTGTGAAATTTACGGAAGACTAAATGAAGAAAATTAAAATACTCTATAATCCTACTGAAGGTCCCTAGGTGAGCAAACAGTTGACACTAGACTACTAATCTAAAGGTTGACAGTTTGAACCCACCCAACAGCATATCAGAAGAAGGGCCTGTTGATCTGCTTCCATAAAGATTACAGCCAAGAAAATCCTATGGAACAGATCTACTGTGTAACACATGTTGTCATCAGTTGGAATCAACTGGTTGTTTTCTTTTACAGGTTTATAATCCCACTATCCGTAGATAAAGAGCCCTGGTGGCTCAATGGTGAAGCCTAAGCTGCTAATCAAAAGGTTGGCGGTTCTGACCCACCAGCCACTCCTGGAGAAAAGACCTAGCAATCTGTTCCCATAAAGATTACAGCCTCGGAAATGGCATAGGTTTTACTCTGTCCTACAGCGTCCCTATGAGTCTGAATCAACTCGATGGCACACAACAACATCCATAGATAAAGGACTTATCCATCCACTCTATATAGAAATGTAATCGAACAGATTTTAAGAAAAATGCCTATATATCTATCAATCTACGAATCTCGATATCTATGTAGAAACATGTTAACAGTAGTTCTCTGAGTGCTGCAGTTATGTTGTTGTTGTTCGAGGCTGTGAATCAGTGACCACACGCACAACGGAACAAAATGCTGCCTGGTTCTGGGCCATGCTCACAGTCACTTGTGAATGGGACCTTGTGATCGCTAAGATTTTCTCTGGCTGATTCTCAGAAGTAGATCACCAGGCCAGCGATCCAAGTCTGGAAGCTCTGCTGAAACCTGTTGAGCATCACAGCGGCGTGCAAGCCTCCACTGACAGACGGGGGGTGGCTGTGCTTGAGGTGCGTTGGCTGAGAATCAACCGGCTTCCGTCACATGAAAGGCGAGAATTCTACCCCTGAGCCACCTAACCCCACAAACTAAGTTGTTTGCTAAACAGAAACTTGAGTAAAAATTCATAATGCATGTATGGCATAGTAGTAATACATAAGGTAATCACAGAATTGGTAAGAAAACCCAGAAGACACTAAAAAAATAAGAAAACAAGCAGAAAATTCCCAGAAATTATATGCAATTGGTTAATCATCCTACAAAAATGTTAAACCTCACTAGTAATCAAGTATATGCCAATTAAAAGGAGATATTCTCAGGATCAAAGTAACATTAAAAATAATAACCTGAGCGATTTTGAAGTGGAATAAAATGAGTATTTTTTTCACTACTGAAATAATGCAATGGCTCTATATTTATGCAGGGCAATTTATTAATTCTGCAAGGAATTTATCAAATTTCTCCTTATAGGAATTTTCCTTTAAAAATCATTTAAATACTGTATTCTCCATACATTAGTCATATTGGACTTTCAGTTCCTGACACTCTTTGTACCCCTTCTTGCCTCCAGACCTATACCTATAGGAATGCTGCTTCTTCACCCCAGATCCTTCCTGCTCTTCTCACCTTACTCGTACATGTAATTCAGAGCTGAAAATAACCCAGCTCAGGCTCAGAGATACATTCTCCACTCCCAGGACCAAGTCAGGTCATTCGCTTTGCACCCTTTAGTTTTCTTTCCCAACATCACATAAACAGAATTGTTCAAAGTATTCTTTGTTATTTAATTTGTTTTCCTACTAGAATATCTTACCATTATACTTAAGTCTTGTTCATTACTATATACTCAGCACCTAACACAGTTAGTGTTCATAAAATATTTGTTGACTCAACAAATAGCCTTAACGTCCACAATACTCATATTAGGTTTATTTGTAACAGCAAAAACTGGAGACAACCTAAATATAAACAATATAATAACTATTAAGCATGTTATTATCTACCCACAAAATGGGCTATTATGCAGGACTCAGATATGGTGATTACAAATAAATTTTAAAAGCATGGAAAATGAATAAGTTCTGAATAACTTGTATAGAAAGTAGTTGTTTATACAATATAAATTCAGCTAAAAGAAACTTTGTAAATTTAGTTGAAACTGGGTAGTGATAGTAGATTTTTGGTTTTGTTTTTTCTATTATCTCTTAACTATCTGTACTTTCCAAAAATATTATTAGTGTAAAAATATAAAAATGTGATTTGGAAATCTCACAGAGAGCAAATTAAGTCTTTCTATTTCAAATCTTCCAGGCATCAAACCATGAATATAAGAATAATACACCTTTAAAAGTGGCCAAAATAAGTCACTAAGTTCACATCCTGGGTTGGACATAAAAATTCACTTTAAAAATTTGTGTATGAAGGTAAATGTATGAGAATGTAAATGTATGCAAAACCATAGAGCAGAACAGTTCATATTTCACAATAATTCTACCCAGATTCAGTCTTGTGTCCCTTAGTATAAATCTTAGTGACAATGTCGAGTCCTTTGGATCTGTTCTTCTAGAAGAACCTTAACCCAATTCCAATTGATTCATGACCTTTGCTTCATCTCAAATCACTGGATCTGAAGACTATAAAGATTTATTTCATAAGAGCTTCTGATCTTTTCTCCTCCATACAGACAGTCTTTCCTAAGCAATTTTTCACAGAACTACATCTACTACTACTACTATTGCTATTATGTCAAAAACATGCCATAAAAAGAGAACATTGGAATTTAAACAGTGAAAATACAAGTAGAGCTTTAGAGAATTAAATTGTACACTTGCAAGAAGCACCCATGTCTCTGTCTCTCATTGCCATGGTCTGAATGTCAAGACTGATCATATATTTCTTTTGTCTTGGTTTCTTTTTCTTCAGATCTTCTTGGTGAAAATGTGTCCGTACTTCAGGGAAGTCAGATAAAGCACAATGAAAAGTCTTGTTTCAGTACTTATTCCTACCATCATATTATTTACAGTGTATAGTCTCCAGGCTGATGTTCTTCCTCTGGTAGATGTGTCAGAAGAAGATATAGCAGGGTAGGGAACCCGACTGAGTCACGGAAGTAGCATGCAGGATTAGAATCTCGTTGAAAAGTTTGGTTCTCTGAGAGGTTATCAGGACAATTATGGAAGATTTCAGTGATGTCCAAGAACACAATTAAAACCAATGCAAGAACGTGGTACAAATGAAATATATCTTCAAACATTTCTGCACTAGATTATTTTCCTACAATATCTATTTCTCTCCAAGCCTGTCCATGGAGTGCCAAGATTTTTGCCTTTTCTTGAAGCATTTTAATGGCTGCTGTGCCTTCAAAGAGGCCTGATTTAGCTGGTTGTTTCCTAGAATTAGGATAAATGAGTGGCCCCAGGGATAGATGATTGTTTTTGCCATGACAAATAAAAGCAGCAGTTTATTCTCTGGCACAGTTAAACATGAAATTTCTATGGCAATGCCTATAAAATGCAAAATAAAGACGACAAGGAAAGACATCAAAACTTTCATTGCTCTAATATGAGCTTCTGTGCTGGGATCTCTGGATCTGTGACACTCATTCACATCCTCCTGTTGTGTCCCCAAAGGGAACTGATTAACAAGAAACATGTAATCAAGGATAGAGTAAGAGGAAAATGACCCAGGTTGAGGGAAACCTGGCTCATAAAGACTTCACTTTTGTTCATGTTGAGCTGCCATGTTCTGTTTCTTTTCGAGATTCTGTAATCATGAAGATTGTCACTACTTGTGGGAAGGCAAGTAACTGTGAAAGAAGCAAGGATCCCATGACAAGGGGAAGAACCCTATTAAGTCCACCCTTCAGCCAGAGAAAAAGGCGCTGGGAAAAACTGGCTATCTTCAGAAAATAAAAGATGCGGAGGTGGTGGCAAACCAGACACTTGACTGACCGATAATTATCCATAAGCAACTAATATATTCAGTTAAGTCACTGGAGACATACATATCTGGAGAAAATTTCTTTAAAAATCCATCTGTGACTGTTATCCATATCAGACAAATTCTAGAAAGAGCTAAGCCAGGGAGAATGCAGTCAATCATACAGAACTTCTTATTCTTGACACATTCAATGCAGTTTACAAGTCCGGTAAATCCATTCCCTAAAACCCCTAAAACTGATTCACACTCTGTAATAAAAATGACACTTAGCATATTTACTGGTCCCTAATACTGTTTCTGTTACATCTATTTTAGATTACCTGCTGCAGAATGGGGTATATATTGACTGCTTGATGGAAGAGTAGTTTTCTTTTCTTTCTTTATTATAAAAAGACTTTAAAATGCCTGAGTAATGCACTGTGATGGGATCTGAATTGTCTTCATGGAGAGCCTTCCAGTTACTTCTGTAAAAGCTTAGCTAGCCTGGAGAATGTGCGTCCAGACTGAGTGCCTACCCGCGATTTGTGAAGACACAGATGAAGGCTCATGTTTCATGGGTTTGACTTGTTCTCCTAAGACTATTTTGCATTTATTAACCTGAATAGTGGAGTCTGGGCACCAAAGAAATATCTACAAGATTGAAAACACAATAGAACCAAAAGTTGAACTTTGTTGGACTGTTTTTTCAATATCAACATTATCATCATCACCTATGTTGTGTTTATAATCACAGTTCAGACATGTGAAGAAAAAACAGTGTATAGAAATGATTGATGAATTTGGCCACTATAGAAACTTACTCTGAATAATAAAAGACACAAAGAAACACATTTTCTTAATTTTTTTACTCTAGTGTTTCAGACAGGGAATACTTCACATTATAATAAAGAGGACAATAGATTGTAACCCAGTCACATAAAAATATTTAAGACCAGTTTGTGTTAAGGTAGGTTCTAGAAGTCATTTTCTCATATCGTTAAATATGTTTTTATCTTTTGACTTTTAATTATGTTTTAAGCTCCTCTCTGGGCATGATAAATTTCAAGCATATTACCTCACAAAATTGTTGCTGTGTTTGTATACCCATAGATATTCCATCCGTGAATGCAAGACATTATGTTGATTGCTATTTTCATGAAAGTCTCTCGGGAAAAGTTCCTTCATGTAGCCTATTTCTATTTATTTTTGCTGGCATCCATTCATTCATTTATTCAAAAAACATTTACTGAGTGTCTATATATGTGTTTCAAGTCACATTTCAAATGCTAACAATTAATCTGATTAATTCCCTTTGTTTGTGGAAAATTCTACTCAGTGTATAAGGTTAATATAACTGGAAAAAAGTTTTCTTTTCCAATTATCCAGCAGTATTTATCAAACCCTGACTTCATGCTGAGTTCTCCAATATAGGAAATAAGTAGAGAAATAACTCATTTAGTTAAGCTGTATAACTTTAATAATTATTACTGTAATTATGTCGATTAAGTTGAATATTTCAATTTTTTCTGGCTGTAAGAGCATTTTTTTTTTTTAACATTTTAACCGGTGCCCTCAGATTTTCTCTATTCTCTTTTCAGGGACAGTTCACTTCCAGTGTTACCATACAAACTAAGATGTAAATGTCACATACCAGCTTAAAGAGAATTTCCATTTACCAGAAATCAAAATTTTATGCAAAGTAGATGAAACTTTCATGGTAACTGAATCTCAGTCATCAACAAACGACTTTGGAAAGGAAAATTTTAAAGTAATTTTTTAAAAAAAAATTTGGATAAAGTCATGATATATGCAGAAGCTTGGAAATCACAAAAATAGCTTTGTAAAAAGAGCCATTTCAATATTGTTGCCATTAAGAAACATGTAATTATCATTTTCTCACGTCAGTAATATTCTCTATTATGATTATCTAAGAGAGTCACATATTTTGACTGTGATTCCTTAATAATTCCCTTTCTCTTAGAGCTTAAGATGTTTCCAATCAAACAGTAAAAGGTTTCTCAACCTTACCACTCTTTACATTTTGGGCGGGATAATCTCTGTTGTAGAGGGCTGTCCTGTGATTGTAGGATGCTTAGCAGCACCCCTGGTCTGTACCCAGTAGATGCTAGTAGCACCACCTCCCAGTACAATCACAAAGCTCTCCAGACATCGCCAAATGCCCTGGGGTGGCAAAATCATTTCTGGTTCAGACCCACTGATAACACTATCTCAAAAACTATGTAGCTGAACAATTGTGCATATGTGTGTTTGCAAATATTTATGTTGCTTTCTTTAGATTAAGTTGCTAAAAATGTTAGCAATAGGTCAAAAATTACGTGTAACTTAAGGAAATTACACCCCCCCTTAAAATTACGGATATTCCTGCTTCCAAACCCTAGAGAATTATTCTAATACATGTGGAATGGAATCTAAAATTCAACATGCACTAATCACAAAGGAATTCCTGGCAATTTTTGAAAGATTCACAGGCAGACCATATGCTTTAGGTTACTGAACTACATATAATTACATTGAATAAGTAAGGAAAAAGTAATTTGTAAAATCCTAGTAATTCGTATTGAAATAATAACACAACCTCAGTTTCCAAGTACCCAAAGAAAAGAAAAAATACCCAAAAATACATGTAAGTGAATAATTAGCCTAGAAATAATCTATTTAAATTAAAAAGATTTAACTGGGAAATAAATGGAAATTTTGAATAAAAGGAGAGCTATAATGCATTTCTGAATGGGGAAACACAAAAATTATAAATAATGTAAATATACTCCTAAGTACTTATAAATTTAGTATATTTCCAAACACTGTCCTGAAAGAATTGTAAATAAAATTCAAGAAAGCTTATAGATTCATTAAACAAAATTTCAGTCAATGAAGATTTTATTCAACAAGTGTTTGTTGAAATACAAAATGTACTTGAATCTAGAATATATACAAATGCACACTTGCAGGTTTTATTCAGTTGATTTCTATTATGTTATTGTCAGAGAATGTATTTGTTATGGATTGAACTGCATCCCCCCAAAATGTATGTTGTAAATCCTAATCCCTATACCTATGTTTATAATCCCCTTTGGGAACGGGTTTTCTTTATTATGTTAAGAGGCCGTGTCGGGTGTGTTTTAGACCACTCACCTTTGAGATATAAAAAGAGCAGTTTAGGACAGACAAGTAAGCAGAGATGGGGGAAGATAGTTGCCATGCCACACGAAGATCACCAAGGAGCCAGGGAACGGAAGCTGAAAAGAGACAAGGACCTTTCCCCTAGTCGGCAGAGAGAGAAAGCCTTCCCCCAGAGCCCACACCCTGAATTCAGACTTAACAGCCTCCTAAACTGTGAGAAAATAAATCTCTGTTTGTTAAGGCCGCCCACTTGTGATATTTCGGTTACAGCAGCACTAGATAACTGAGACAGGTTTCTCAAATCTTTAGGTTCTTTGGCAGGGTGGGGAGTTAGAGTTGGATTTTGCTTTGTAGACTGGTAACTGGTCAATTTTTGTAAGTGTCTTTGGATGCTTAAAAAAACTAGATAAATTCCAAGTCTTTAATTGCTACCGTATGTCTCACAATTCTCCTTTATTAATTTTAAGTTAAAGTTCTTTATTCCTATATTTACTTTCTGAATATTTGACTATAATATACTGATAAATGTGTATCACATTATTCTAAAAAGTTCTGTTATCACATGTTTACTTTCATAAATTCGCTCCTATTTCATTCAGCTTCTTTGTTTGGTTTTTGATTTGCCTCTTTGCAAGCTCTTTTTTTATATTTTTATCTTATCATCTCTTTTTTTTTTTTATCGAATTGTTATCTTGAATTCTGTAGAGAAAACTTAGCAGACATTACCTAAGATTAACCTCTGTTTCCTGCAGTGACTCTTCTTAAAAACTACGTTCTTTCTTTATCGTCTGTGCTAGAGAAGAGTTTCAGATGCCATATATTATTTTGTCCTTTTAAGCTTCGTTTGTTTGTGTTTTATTTGGCTTATTCAATGTCAAAAGATGAACCCTCATACCAGGCCTGGAATATATACCACAGCATATTTTTGTTTTTATTTCTTTCTTTTCTTTAGTTTTCTCATGATTTTTACTTTCGTAATAGCAGATTTTGTTTTAGAGTGACTTCATATGCCCTACTAATGGCACCAATGTCCCATTGTCACTTTCAGAAACTTTGTTGTTGTTACTAAACAAAAATGTTAAGAAACCATATCTTTCTTATCACTGCTGCATTCAAAAATCAGATACTTCTTACCACTTCCTGGAATTTTCTTTCTAGCAAAGAAAAGCATCTCCTATTGACTAAGAATCTTAAAGTTTTCTTTTTTATGAAATATATTTTCCTATTTAATTAAAACTTAACAATTACTTTTAAAAGCATCATAAAATATTGCACCAGGCTATTTAATCAACACTAATTTTGGCACGCTTTTTAAATAATAACGGAAACATGAGCTAATAGAAAGACATTAATTTTTCCATTCTTTTATTGTAGAGTCAGAATATTTGACTCCTAACACTTACTTAACACTTTGCAGTTAAGTCACTAAAATATAATGAACCTCATCATAGAAAATGATAACAATAATAAATACTTTGTACAACTGTTATAGGGACTAAATTGAATAACCCAAATCAAATTACCTAGGATATTTCATGAAATTCAGGAGACTTTTTTTCTCTTATGTCAATGCTCTGATCTATGCAAATAATTTTAAAATTCTATAGGATGCACAGTGATAGCAATGATAGAACCTAGGGAAATGATAATGCCCTTAAAGACCCATAATTACTTATTTTTCTGCATAACATGAACAATTCCGCTCAGGTGCATCCAGTCTGTGAAAGGTTATATTCCTTCAAGGCAGGAGTTAATTTGCCTTAGCAGATTCACCGAAGCCTGCCTCAATTCTCTGTTCCTCAGAATCATATCGAAAGGGTGAACTGAAGGATACAGAAATGCTACAGTCTCAATAATAATCACACTTAACGAGTTTTCTAGCATAAAGTAGGACCAAATTATCGAGATAGTGACCAAATAATGCACAGCTAAGTGAACGAGGAAAGGAATCACAGCATTTCTGGCTCTCACATGAACCTCTGTGTTGAGCACTCCAGAGCTCATGACATGGTGCTTCATCTGCTTGGTATGTCTCCATAAGGAAAAGATGAACAGGAAAAATGAAATAAGAACAAGGCCACAGGAATGAGGGACCCCAGATTGAGAAGAAGTTGGCTCCTATAGCAGCGGGTGCTACTCGTGTATAATTTCCA